TGCATTCAAGGTTGGCGGCTACTTTTGGCTTCAATATGGTCCTAACCATGAATATGACATCTGATTTTGACATTTAGCACCATTCGGCATCAACCCGTAGACGAATACACAAATGCAAAATTTAGTCGCCATGAGGCATCATCTTGCACTTCCTTTTTAGTACTGCTAGAATCGTTCAGCGGCAATGAAACATGGTTTTGTGCTTTCGACATGGGTCTCTGCAATATGAGGGAAGTTGTTTCGAAAAAGCGCGGCTTGCCGTGAATGCGCGTCCTAACCAGCGCGAGAAGGCAGACGTGCAAAAACACCCAGTAAACGGTACTAGCGCAAAGAATGAATGTCGTATTCGCAACAGGACTCGAAATCCGAGCGTCAAAAGCGTATGATGGGAATAGTAGCGTCGACAAATGGCGCCATTTTGATGGCAGCTCCGAAACTGGATCTCATATCCGTGATCAGGATCTTTGACAACTCCACGGAGAAGTTTCAGCAAGCCATTTTTTTGCCCATCTTACTTTTTTGTCCATCTGGTCTCGCAAATATGCAGTTCCCTTACTTTTCTTTCCTGTAGCCACTGTCTATCTCTTCAAGCATATCCATAAGTAACAGCATTCCAGAAAAATTCTACACTCTTGGATGCCCAGTGCGAACGGCAAGGTGATGATGGTCATCCGATCGTTGTCGACTATGGAGTAAGCGTTTGATTACTGTAAGATTTTTTAGACACTGATATGCACGTCATTTGCAGGGTACACTGTTATGGTCGCATCGAACACAGAACCTTATTTTCTCGGGTACTTTCTGGGGTTCACTGATTGTGATCGGCCCGTCGATGCTCATCTGGCATCGTTGCTCACCACGTATCGTGCTTATAACCGCAATGATTTCATACGCCGTGGTGACCTTTGCCACGCCCTTTCTGGCTGTCCATCTTGGTCCTATCGCCGTCTTCACTGCACGAGTCTTTCATGGGATTCGGAGAGGTGAATACTTGAAAAAAATTGGACTTTTGTAAATATTATCAAGGACTGTATTTCTTGTTCGTATTTCTGGTTTCTAACAGACTATTTTAACTTATGATCTAATTTTTATAAAGGCAATTGCCTGTGAATGCCAGGGTGGAG